TGATCTCTTGAAAGGCCTTGTCAAGATTTGTATGTGAACGTGAAGTGCCATATCATTGTTTTCAAAATAAAAATATTTTCAGACGTTAGCGTCTCTCTACTACTAAATATGTAAGATTCTTTAGTTGTATGTGTTAGTAATTCGAATTAAAACCGTCCATGATGATGTCACTTGCGTTTACTGCTATACACAACGATTCGTAAAAAATAGGCTAATGAGTAATTATATAAAAATCCAAAATGATGCATCTGTATAGTTCTAAGTCCATTCTATTGGATACTATAAACCATAGTTGATCTTTGTCTAGAAATATTTAAAAGAGAGAGAGAGAGAGAGAAGATACTTGTATTGTAGACAGAACGGTTTTTTGTCTTTATGTAGGCTACGATGCATTTTGCCTAACAAAAGACACATAAAAATGATTTAAATTGCTTAAGACTGTCAACAGCAAAACATTCTGGAATGGTTAAGTTTGCCTTCAGAAATCAATTGTTACGCCGAGTAAAATTCGCTCTTTTTTTAGACACTTTGTAGAGAAACTCAGTGAGAAAAGATCAAGTTTCACGATTTGACTGCTCAGTTCTTAATCAATTAATAATTCAATCATCTATCAACTGAAGAAAAAAATTCATGATGAAAATTTCATACTTTCTGATGGTGATCTGCTAAGTAAAATAGTAGACAGTTGAAGAAACAATTATTGTAGTTATGTTTATGAAATGTTGAACATATTAAATAATCGCATTATTTCAATTGCGACCCAACAATTGCTGTTGATTATTTCTGAGTTCGAGATCGTGACTCTCTGCCAGATAACTTAATGCAACGATAGTTAATCAGTGAAACAGAACGACCATATACCATGTAGTGGCGGAGCCAGGATTTTGAGCTGGGAGGGGCTCAACCCCATCTGAGGGATCTTTGAGCCCCGGTTAGCAAATAAAATACATGGTTTAAAAGTTTTCCTGGGAGGGGCTGAGCCCCCCCCCCCCCCAGCCCCACCCTGGCTCCGCCACTAATACCATGCTTGCCTGGTCACATTGAATCGTCTCTACTTTCACGTTCATCCGCCATATTTCTGTTTAGAAGCTAAAGTCAGAATAGTATACTATTTATGCGAACACATGGATAAAAGCATACATTGAAGCACTGTTCTAAATTCTCTTCCAGAAGTTGCTCAAACCACTCTCATACCATTGTCGCTTCGGAGTTTTGAAAGTATCGATCGTTTATATAAAATTAAATGAATATGTGGTTGATGTTAGTATAGCACATTTCGTTGAACTCTTCAAAGAACTTAGCAAATGAGTTAGTTTACTCAAGCGCCGATGTTTTGACAAAATCAAAAAGTTTTTTTTTTAATTTTGTCATTATTTGCACGATTTTGAAAAAGAATATAATATAAGCACTGCGATCGTATATACAACACTTAATCGCTTGTTTTTCTTTGTTAAGATGCTATAAGAACAAAAAGTTACATTCTTTAACACAAAATCAGACCTTGGAGGTAACGCAAATGAGTACATGATCATCTTGAGGATTAATTCATAATATTAAGGAGATTGCGTCTTTCGTCAAAGAAACGAAACGCATTGCAAATCGAATGTAAAAGTTGGTAAAACGATGATATATTCATAAGCGTTTTCGAATGTACTTCATTAACATTTTTATGCGTTTATTAACAAATTTCTTACAATGTTGCACTGCAAAAAAAAAGTAGACTTTTGCAATTGACAAAAATTAGATACTGCTAAACTATCAACAAAAAACCCATTTATTGCTAGCTTTATTGCTATATTGAAAATCGGTATCGTTCTCAAAATAGTTCAAATAATATTCGTAAATATTTTTTAATTCTGAATCTCCAACTAAAGTAAAATTTTTTATAATAGCATTCTTTATAATACCACATTGAATTAATGATTTAAATATGTTCATTGACTTAACACTGGTATAATTGCCCACAATACCAATGCCTATAAGAAAACAAAACAACATGATTTAAAATCTCGAAATGCTAACTTGAAAAGCAATAAAATTCTTATATAACCATACACATTGAAATTCATCTAAGATTTTAATTACTTCTAATAAAGACTATGACGAGCTCAAGATCAAATTGACAAAATCCTAAGATCTGTTGTTCCAGGAAGTCAAAAAAAGGAAGTTTTCTTACCTAATGATCTGTTATTGTAACCTTTACAATGTGCACCAATATATTTCCATCCTCTACCTTGATAAATTTCTTGTTGATCATGATTATCATTGCATATGATAAAATTATAAGCAATATCAGACCAGCGTAATGTATCCATGTGATGATCTTGAAATCCTTGTATTTGTTTAATACAATCTTGTTGATTCATAGGTGAATGAGAACCTTCTATTGGTCTTAGTACAATATGTGTAACTGGGAATGTTTGTAAATTATCATGACCTATAGACGGACGTGCATTCCAGCTCGATCGATTTAATATATTGGGACAACCTATAAGAAATGCACATCAACCATGGCTATTTAGTACTTATTCATCAAAGAATGAGTTTTAGCATTGTTTTGAAAAATAATATCTTACTCTAACTATATTCAGTGTTATTGAAGTGTTAACTGCAACATCAAATTTACATATTTCTTCAAGGTTCGTAAAATACAGAATTAGTGAAATTGACTGCTCTCCACTCTTTGTGGTAATTACCGAGAAATTACCACTGGAATTTTCTTTAGAAAGTGCTATGTCATAGTGTATTGTATCAAAATGAGGAATATTAAGTTTATTAAAATTGACAGAAGTGAATTCATTCACGATCCAATATGATAATGTTGATGCGTATGAGCCGTCTCTGTTAGACATGGAGTCAAAATCAGCTCCGTTGATCAGATAAGTTTTTATTAGTGAAATATATTCTGAAACTATTTTCTTCTCAGTTAATTTATATTCTTTCCAGTGAATGATTCGAATTTGGATAGAAAACAGTCTCTGCAATCGTTTATAGATGGAACCAAAAATCGTAAGCGGTACCACTGCTTCTGATAAGTACCATGGTGTACCGATGGCAGCGCAAACAATCATGTGGTATAAGCCATCTAAACTCGCCATCAATGATGGAACTAGGATTTGGGCTAGTTGAATCTTACAATCACAGGGTCTGTGATGTAAGTAAGCTAGATTAGACATATTCGGGTCAAATTAAAGGTCGCACTACCAAACTACCAAATTTAAAATATTAGCTACCCTTGACTTGTCTAGAGGGAGATATTTAAATTTTAAATTTTTAGATATAATAATGAATCAGAAAAGATTTTCTCCACTATTATAAGGACAAAACATAGTGTTATTCGGGGCGATTATGGGATTTGTAGGGACTCTCTTTCAAATGGCCAGAACAACACTATGTTTTGTCCTTATAATAGTGGGAAAAACCTTTCCTGATTCATTTTTAAACCTAAATTTAAATATTTCCCTCTAGACAACCCAAGGGCAGCTCATATTTTAAATTTGGTAGTTTGGCAGAGGGACCTTCAATGTGACCCAAATATGTCTAATCTAGCTCACTTACAGCACAGATCTTCCATTGTCAGATGCAGGTTTCGCCACTGCTCACAGTCAGTGATTATATTTGCCAGTACGAAAAGAGTGAATTTTAATGAATTTGCTTAAAAGTCAGGATAAATATTTCGTAGAACTTTCGATATTTTAGTTTGTTATAGACTCTTCTCTGACAATTTTTTTCTTGTCTCACTTTTACCTAGTGGTAATGAATCGTCGACATCAATATCATTTTCTTTTGTTGACATTGTGGTGTCAGTATTGGTATTTTTCTTAATAACGAAAGTAAAAATGAATATGAAAATTAAACCGGAAAAGAAAACTAATAGTAAAAATCCAATGATACTATAAAGAAGATATTTCCGTCGTCGAAGTTTTGAATATTCTCTGATGTCTCTTATATCATCACAAGATGATACAAATGAACTTGTTCTCAATTCTTCAATATCTAAAAGTTTAATAAATAGAATTTAAAGAATAAATTTTCTTTGATATATGTGAAGAAAAGTATTTTACTTTCTGATTCATTATTATTATTATTATTATTTGAATCTTCACATTCTTCTAATTCAATTTCAATTGAAATTGATGCTTTTGGATCATCAAGATAATTTCGTTTAATATTCACTACTTTAAAAACACTAAATGGAAGAATTAAAATTTCTCGTTCATATGGGTTCGTCGATAAACTTTCGATATTAATAGCTGTTGAATTTTGTTTTATTAAATATTTACATAAACATGAATATTGTAAAGAACGATGATCTTTAGAAGTATATCTCATTTTAGATTGTTCACCTTCACCAGCAAACATTTCAGCTACTGGATGATCAATGGTTGCTGATAAAAATGAACGATTTAATATATGTTGATCTAATTTATATTGTTTTAAATCATGTTGTGTTATTCTCATACCACGATAACATGCACCTTGAAATCGATATTGAGATAAATTTGGATGATGAATTAAGAGTGTTACAATATGAATAAGGCAATTAACTAAACGATAATTTGGCGAAAAATACTTTGTTCTATCAAAATATTCTAATACATAAAGAGCTAGATGTTTATTTAATTCTTTAAAAAAGCATGTTGCTAATGTGTAAGCTTTTATAAAATATGTTAAATAATCTTGTTTTTCTATAGCTTCTTGAAAACATTCTTGAATTATTTTAATTTGTTTACGAATAGTTTGATGTTCCAAATTTTCAATATTATTATATTTATTTATTAGATATTCATTTAAATAATAATGGATAACTTCAACTAACAATTTTGATATTAAATGATGATTGTCATAGGTTTTGTATAAATCAATTTTTTGACGAAATTCACGTTGTTTATCAAGGAGATTATCACCTACCATTGACCATTCAATGTAATCATAATCATCACTAGAAAATAATTTTTTTTCTAAAAATAATTGTTTTATATCATCTGTATCAGCTTCTTCATAAGCTGTTAAATCATATGTTGAATTTCTTATTGAACGTAAAGCTCCATATTCTAATAACATATATACTATTTCTCGATGTCCATAATAACATGCAACATGCAAACATGTTGAACCGGTTGATGCATGAATTTTATTTATGATATCCTTATTATGAATAAATTGTAAACGATTTCGAACTTTTTCTATTTCATTTTCTTTACATAAATGATATAATACATCAATAATAGTTGAATCATTGTCGTTATTATTTGATCGATATAATGATAGCATGACGATGAAAAACAAAGAATTGAATTTTTGGATGAATAAGAAAGTATTTTTAACGTATTTTATGCATTAACTAGTAAGAATATTGACAATGTTGAGAGAGAAATTCGTCGATCAATGAATTAAAAATTTCATGTCTCATGTCAAAGCACTAATTATTAACGAAAACAACCAGAAAAGGAGAATAGGCTTTGGCATTCAACTTCGTTGAAATGAAAGTGTCAATTGCCAAAAATATGAAATTCATAAACTTTTTCTTCCGAGTTTACATGCTATTAATATTTTTCTTCCTTTTTACGAGCCAGAAGAGAGACGTATAATACATAATTTGCAATACACATCATTCACTTCGCATAATCATTCTTTTCCTACTATGATTAATACGCAAAATAGTTACTCAATCACTTGTAATATGTCATTAAATATATTTAATCTCATCAATCACTTCTAATCGCACATGTGCCTATCAAGAGAAAGAAATCTTATAAACTTTCACAATAAGCTGAGTCATGGGAAAAAGTTTGTTCGTGTAACCCTATTAAGGCTGAAATGTGGAACTCCTGTATCTTCTTTAGCTTCATTATATCAGTGCAAGAAATAAGCGAAATGTAAAATCTCTAACAGACGATGGTTCGTTTTCATCAATAATCGATTATTCACAAAGCGTTATGTCTTTTTTATTTTTATATTTCAAATAGAAATTCTTTTTTACTACGGGCATTCTATGTTTTTTTGCCTAGTTACTATTCGCATTTTATTATTTTTTTTCGTATTGCTTGTTTCTTTATTTAACTTTATTATTATGATAAGCATTGAAGTGAATGACAAGCAAGACTGTTGAAAACAGGAGTGGCACATTTACATTATTTTTTATTTAGGTAAATATAGTAAAGTAACTGCTGCAGTTACTTTTTACAAGCAGGATGGATGGGTGTGCGGGTGAGAATGTGGATGGCTGGGTGTGGATCTTCTCTTTATTTTTGCCCACACTCACCCATAGCGC